CGCTCCCGGCCCCGCCTTCCATTCACAAAGAGCGAGCTCAGGGCCCCGCGGACGCTGATTGGCTGCTGTGCGGGCGGGGGGCGGGGCCAGCACGGGGCGGCCACGCGGCGGCGGCGGCAGAACGGGCGGGGACGGAGACCGGGACGGGAACAGGACCAGGACCGGGACCGGGACCTCTGAGCCAGGCGCGGGGCCGGGACCTCTGAGCAGAGCGCAGGACCTCTGAGCCAGGTGCAGAACCGCGGGGCCGGATGCGGGACCTCTGAGCCAGGCGCGGGACCTCAGAGCCAGGTGCAGGACCGCGGGTGCGGGACCTCTGAGCCGAGTGCGGAATCGCGGGTGCGGGACTACGGGGCCTGGTGCGGGACCTCTGAGCCGGGCGCAGGACCTGAGCCAGGTGGGGGACCTGTGAGCCAGGTGCGGAGCTGGTGCGGGCCCGCGGGGAGGGCTGGGCGCGGCAGCCCCGGGAGCGCACATCGCCCTCTCTCTCCGTACTGCGCGGGGCCCGGCGGAACCCCGAGCAGCCCCGGAGCTCCCGGTGCCCCGTTTCGGTCAGCGCTGGGCGAGCCCCGCAGCTGCGGGACGGTCCCTCCGAGCTCCCCGTCCCGGGCGGTACCAACCTCCCGCCGCCGGCTCCTCTCGGGCGCCGCTCGCCCGCCGGTGCCGGGCGCCCCGTGCTGACTCGCCGCTTTTCCCTTCGCAGAGCGGCCTCGGCACTATGTCCGTGAGCAGCCACGAGAACCGGAAATCCCGCTCGAGCTCCGGCTCCATGAACATCCACCTCTTCCACAAACCGGGCCACGCCGACAGCCTCCTCACCCAGCTCAACCTGCTCCGCCAGCAGAACCTCTTCACCGACGTGGTGCTGCGGGCGGGGAACCGCAGCTTCCCCTGCCACCGCGCCGTCCTGGCCGCCTGCAGCCGCTACTTCAACGCCATGTTCAGCGGGGGGCTCAAGGAGAGCAGAGATGCCGAGGTGAACTTCCACGACTCCCTGCACCCCGAGGTGCTGGAGCTGCTGCTGGACTACGCCTACTCGGCCCGGGTGCTGATCAACGAGGAGAACGCCGAGTCCCTGCTGGAGGCCGGGGACATGCTGCAGTTCCAGGATATTCGGGACGCCTCGGCCGACTTCCTGGAGAAGAACCTCTACCCCGGGAACTGCCTGAACATGCTGCTGCTGTCCGACGCCCACTGCTGCGAGCGGCTGCTGGAGCTGTCCTGGAGGATGGCGCTGGCCAACTTCACCTCGCTCTGCAAGACCGAGGATTTCCTGCGGCTGCCCAAGGACAAGCTGCTGGAGCTGGTGGAGAGCGAGGAGCTGGAGGTGGAGGACGAGACGCTGGTCTACGAGGCCGTCATGGGCTGGATCCGCTACGACCTGCCCCGGCGCCACGAGGTTCTGCCGGAGCTGCTGCGCTCCGTCCGCCTGGCCCTGCTCCCCGAGTCCTACCTGCGCAAACAGGTGGCCTGCGAGAAGCTGGTGACCAGCCACAAGCTGGGGGAGGAGATCGTGGCCGACGCCGTGCGCTGCAAGATGAAGATCCTGCAGAACGACGGGCTGGTGACGGGGTGCTGCGCCCGGCCTCGCAAGGTCAGCCAGGCCCTGCTGCTGCTGGGGGGCCAGACCTTCATGTGCGACAAGATTTACATGCTGGACCACAAAACCAGCGAGATCATCCCCCGCGCCGACATCCCCAGCCCCCGCAAGGAGTGCAGCGCCTGCGCCATCGGCTGCAAGGTTTACATCACCGGGGGCAAGGGCTCCGAGAACGGCGCTTCCAGGGACGTCTGGGTCTACGACACCCTCCACGACGAGTGGGCAAAGGCCGCTCCCATGCTGGTGGCGCGGTTCGGCCACGGCTCCGCCGAGCTGGACCACTGCCTGTACGTGGTGGGGGGTCACACGGCCATGAGCGGAGCCTTCCCGGCCTCCCCCTCCGTCTCCCTCAAGCAGGTGGAGCACTACGACCCTCAGCTGGACAAGTGGTCCCTCGTGGCCCCCCTGCGGGAGGGCGTCAGCAACGCCGCCGTGGTGGGGGCCAAGATGAAGCTGTTCGTTTTCGGGGGCACCAGCGCCAACCAGAACAAGCTGCCCAAGGTGCAGTGCTTCGACCCGCGCCAGAACCGCTGGACGGTGCCCACCAGCTGCCCCCAGCCCTGGCGCTACACGGCGGCCGCCGTGGTGGGCAGCCACGTCATGGTCATCGGCGGCGACACCGAGTTCTCGGCCAGCTCCGCCTACCGCTTCCACAGTGACACCTACCAGTGGGCCAAGTTCGGGGACGTCACCGCCAAGCGCATCAGCTGCCGCGCCGTCACCTCGGGGAACAGGCTGTACGTGGTGGGCGGCTACTGCGGGGCCCAGCGCTGCAAGACCCTGGACTGCTACGACCCCTCGTCCGACACCTGGAGCAGCATCACCACTGTGCCCTATTCCCTCATCCCCACCGCCTTCGTCAGCACCTGGAAGTACCTGTCTGCCTGAGAGCGGCCGAGAGCGGCAGGTAGATAGCTGTGGGTCGAGCCAGGGCTCCTCCGTGTAACTTTGTGCTGCACAAAGGTTAAACCTCGAGGGGCAGATGCCCGTGGATCCGGGCTGCGCTTGTCCTCGTGCCAGCGTCAGCTCCAGAAAACGCATTTCCAGGCTGGCAGTTTGGGATCTAAAACCCTGCAAGGGGAGAGAAGGTCTCTTTAAGGTGCCGAAACGCCGCGGGGAGAAGATGGGTATAAATAACAGGACCCTTAACCTGGCATCTCAGCCCTGCCACCGAGCCTTGGCCTATGCAAAGATTTTGGGGAATGCTCTGTGTGAGGATTGGGTGTCGTCCCTGGGTCGGAAGGGCTGCTGGAGTGGATGTTTTTTCCCAGGCTGGGTGTCTGCAGGAGCTGGGACAGACCGTGCGGTGCCACGGGGCTGCTTTTAGCACAGCCTCCTCCTCCTGGTGCCACGCTTAATCTGCCAGTGGCACCCAAATGTCTTGTGGGACGCCAGGGCTGGGAGCTGGTGCCAGGACAAGATTATAGCTGGGATTTAGTCCCAGAGTGGTGGGTAATTGCGTTTATAAGACAAGCCCTGTCTATGTATAAACACAGGGTTTCTCTGCTTCTAATTATTCCCTGGTGTCCCTTTCATGCCACTGCTTTCCTGCTACACAGAGATTGACTTCCAACATTTGCAACTGGAATTAAACCTTTCTAAAGGCTTTTTGGCAGGAATTATGCCAGTGAATCACAGACCCTGCGGCGTTTTTATTTTCTCCTTGCAAGAGTCGTTCTGCTCAAATGAACTTATTAATGCAATAAAATATCCTGTGATACCTGCAGAAGATTCCTGGACGGGGAGCACCAGCACCAGCAGGGCCCAAGGCAACACAGCTCTGGCTTTGAAGTGCTTCTGCAGATCCATCCCCTTGGTCAGCCCAGGGAGGGGACAAGTGCAGAGTGACCTCCTTGGGCTGGAGGCTTGTGCTGTCCCTGGAGACAGCAAAAGGTGTCCAGGTTTTCCACTAACATGTGTGATCTCAGAGCAGGAATCAGAGGGGGATTTGGGATTTTTGGTGATATTTACTAGAAAGGACAAAGGACACTCCTGACTGTGCTGCTGGGACTCTCAGCACAGGCAGCACCAGAGGCTGGAATGTCTGAACACGTGACAGTACTTTGCCCACAGGCTGGTTCTTTACATTTATTTTTTTTTTTTAATACAGCAGTTTTGTGTTTATTACTCAGCCTGGAGCTGCTTAAATAAATCTGAATAAAATCCACTGTGTTCATTGCCTGCTGTGTATGATTAAGCTGCAGGTTTTCCCAGCCCTCACTGTGTAGTCAGGAGCATTCCCTGCTTGAGTCCCAATCGAGGGCTCAGATCTTCCTGAGAACTTTGGAACATGGGACTGAGGGAAGCCCAGCTCTCACAGTGCCTTCTAGCTTTGGAGAACACACAAATCTGTTTAAAACTCCACAGGTGAAGCTGTTCTCTGCCCTTACCTGGTCATTCCTCCACGGAGCTGGGTTTCCAAAGGAGTGGGGGAAAGCATTGCCCTTTCTGTCCCCAAGGGCTGGGAACTCCAGGCCCTGCTCCAGGGGAGGGGGGGCAGTGGCTGGGAAGGAAAAGCTCCGTCAGGGGTGGGAGGTGAGACAGCACAGTCAGAGGAAACAGGCACCAAAGGTACAACCAACTGCCTTACCACAGAAGCAGGGTTTGGGTGAGATCCTTTATTTCAGAGTTAAATAAATCAGTGTCACAAACCCTTCTGAGCTGCTCGTACGGGCGAGAGCTGGGGCGACTGGAAATGAGCTGCCCTGCTGCTGGAGGAGATACACAGACTTCATTTCCACCTTACCTTCTGGTGCCTTTGCCATTTTCAGCTCCCAGGCTGGGCCTTTTTTTTTGTGTGTGCCCTTGCTGTGCCACCTCCCCATCACGGGCTGCAGGGAGAGGAGCCCACGCCCAGCCAGGAGCAAACAGGGAAAAAGACCCATTTCAGCGGGAAAAGGGGGTTAAGATCATGGAGTCCAACCACCCAGCAGCTCCCAGCCTGGCTGTGTCTCACACACACACACACAGGCAAGGGAAAGTCACTTCACAGACACCACCAGGAAGCGTCTCCAGCCCTGCTCCCAACCGGGAGCAGCTTCACCTTTGTTCCATCCGCGGTCCCTCCCGAGGGTTGGACGGAGCTTGTGTGACTTTGCTCAGCGAGTCAGAGGAGCAGAGCTCTCATTCACGGCCGTTTGAGCAGCAGCTGTTTTATTTATGCTGCCAAGCAATCAGTGCTGGCTCCCAGCCACGTCCTGCTCCGGGGACGGAGCAGCTCCAGCCCCTCGGCTCTGTCTGCCCCCCGTGCCTGGCGCTGAGCGACATCTGAGCCGGCCTTGGGGACTCTCAGCTGGGGGAATCAGCAGCCCCCACCGCTCCTGAAGGCTTTGCAAGGGCTGGGCATTGTTTCCTCCTTTCAATCCAACTGCCTCTCAGGGGAAAAAGCAGCACTCCAAGCGCACCTGGGCTCGTGGCTCCCTAAAGCTCATCCTCCCTCACCTGGCAGAGTGCCCCGTGCTGTCCCTGCAGCTCCACCTCCCGCTGGCAGGAACCAGCTCCCAGCACAGCAGGAACCAGCTCCCAGCACCCTGGGGAAAACCAGACAGCTTTGCTGCTGCTTGGGTCTGCTGGAGCCCAGTCATCCCAACAGACCTGTTCTCCCAGTCTGACATTTCCATGCATCGATCCACTCGGTGCCAGGGCCAGAGGATTCAGGCCAACTGAGCTGGAGGTGAATTTGGTTGCTGGGGCAGAAATCCTCCTGAATGAATAGAATTTAGAATATCAACGTAGCTCAAACTTCTGGGCCTCTCCTCCTAGCCCAGCTCCCCCGTTTGTGGCTGCAGGAGCTGAACCCCAGCCCACAGTCACATCTGCAGGAGGCAACACACGTGGGCTTCCCTGGGCTCAAAGCCAACGCCATCCAAGGGATGGTCCTGTTCTCACACAAAGCCTGCAAGCCACAAGAGCCAGAGAAACGGGGGATCAGGTTGGCCCACCTCCCTCGTGGCCACAAGGCAAGACAGTCAGGGTTGATTTTAGGGGGTGTCCTGCTCAGCAACTCCTGCTGCCAGAGCACCGAGTCAGCACACGGCGTTTCTCCCTTCCCAGCTCAGCAGTAACTGAAAAATTCCCCTTTCTGGCTAAAATGGGACACAGATCATTCCAGTGTTCTGCAGCACACCCACCACACATCTAGCAAGGAACTGGTACAATGATAATCCATGGTAGCCCAGCAAAACAAAGCTCTAACTACACACAGTGTGTTTTTTGTCCAGTGTTCTAGGAGGGAGAACAGACACTGCATATTTAAGAGTCTGAAATTCCCTGGCAAATCTGCTTATCACATGCAGTCATCTGAGATGGCTTCAGGTCTAGCAACACACTGTGCCCCACACAGTGAAATGACATCAGCTGCTGCTCTGACGTGGGAGAGGCACATCTACTCCTGTGCACATGGAATCAGGGAATGCTTTGGGTTGGGAAGGACCATAAAGGCCATCCAGTCCCACCCAGTGCCATGGGCAGGGACGCCTTCCACTATCCCAGGTTGCTCCAGGCCCCGTCCAACCTTGCCTTGGACACTTGCAGGGATGGGGCAGCCACAGCTTCTCTGCCCAACCTGTGCCAGGGCCTGCCCACCCTCACAGGGAAGAATTTCTTTCCCATATCCAACCTAACCCTGTTCTCTGTCCGTCAGTGGGAAGCCATTCCCCCTTGTCCTGTCACTGCAGGCCTTTGTCCAAAGTCAAAGAGCCCCACAACAAACTGATCCCTGCCCTGTTTGAGCCTCCAGCGCACGTGACAGCCCCAGAGCCAGGGACCGTGTGTCGCACGCTCCAGCACTGCCAGCTCTGAGAGGCTTTGGCTTTTATCCTCTGCCAGATCCCAGGGGCCCAGGAGCAGCAAACAGCGTAGGACAGGCCCCACATCCCTCATCTGCTGAGCCTTGGGCTTGCCCCATCACTGGGATGAGAAATGAAACCGGATTTGAATCACAGGGGTGAGGAAAGGGAAAGGCAGCGAACAGCACATTCCCACTGTCAGAGCACACTGGGGAGCCAATTCCCTCTGTTCGTGTTTGTCCTCGAGCATCTGGTTTGCTGATGAGTCTCAGATGCAGTATGGGAACCATCAGCCTCGTCTCACCCACATGAAAGAGGGAGGTTTAGCATAAAGCTGGTCATTGCCGATGGCCCCGGAATGATTCATCCACAGAAAGAATGTGGTTTGGGTTTCGGGTTAATTAGCTGCAGATTTCAGGGAGAGACAAGGCAGGGCGGAGCTGCTGCAACATTGGTATGAGCACAGCTCTGAAAGCATCACCAGCCACCCATCCGGAGCTCACACCCTGCCCTGAGCTCACAGAGCAGCGACAGCCTTAGCAGTGCCACTGCCAGGCAAGGTGTTTGCAATCCCCAAGGAATGCCTGCCCCAAAAACTGAGCACAGCAACAACACCCACACACCCCTGAACACCCCTGGCTGCAGCAGCACCGACCTTCTAACACATGCAAATGCTGGCCAGGTTTTAAGCTTGCCTCTGCTGAGCTCTGGGCTGCTGCAGCTGGGCAGGGCCCAGTGGGAATCTGTGCTCCAGGGAACCCTCCGGGCTGAGTTAACCCCGAACCCTGCATCTCTCTGATCCAGGTTCTTCTGTTCTTCCTAGAAACAATTCCTGACATGTGAGTTTGCGGGAGAACACAGTGCAGCTCCTTGTAACTTCTCTGCTGCCCCCCCCCCCCCCCCCCCCCCCCCCCCCCCCCACAAAATCACTTTAAATACTTTTCAGCAGCAAGAAATGGAATCAGAGATGGACGTGGAGTTGCTGGCCTTGCTCTGGTGACACAGTCTGGAAGCGGAGGCAGTGACTGCGCCACAGCTCAGCTCCTGGCAGCTCAATGGGGCAGCTGGAAGGAATATTCTCCTGAGGGAAGCACAAGCAAAAGCTTCTTACACACACAGACAGACACACAGACTGTT